AATGACTTTCTAAAATGCTTCACTGCCATATACGAGGGTCAAACTGAAAGTTCTTAGAACTGGCCACTTATAAACAATATAATAAAAAAATAATTCTAAAATTTGAAAATATAACTCTTTGCCAATATTACTGAGTATATATTTCATTCATTTGTCATTTGTTTTACGATTTGGCGGCAAATTGAAAATTGTCTGTGTCACGTCATCATGAATTTAACACGAGAAAATTTTCGTGCAATGATTTTTTATGACTTTCGATGTCATTTAAGTCAACAAGAAAGTTATGATAGACTACGATTGGCCTTTCACGATGAAGCCCCATCTCGTGCGACTGTTTACAACTGGTTTAATGAGTTTAAACGTGGTCGTACTAATCTCACTGATGATTTACGTGAGGGACGGCCTTCTACGGCGACGACTGAAGATAACATCTGTGTTGTGCGGCGTATGATAGAGACTGACAAAAGAGTGACCTATCAACAGATTCGGACAAGCTTAGGCATCGGTATGAGTCAAGTGCACAAAATCCTCCACGAACATTTAGCGGTCAGGAAGCTTTGCGCCCGGTGGATACCTCATAATTTGACTGAGGCTCAAAAACTCCATCGTGTGGATTGGTGTCGTAAAATGATTGAAAGATTTAACGGAGGTGACTCAAATGCTGTGTTCGACATACTAACAGGTGACGAAAGCTGGATTTACTGTTATGATCCTAAAACCAAAAGACAATCTGCTCAGTGGGTGTTTCCTTTCGAGGAGTTGCCAACTAAAGTGAAGAGAGATCGAAGTGCGGGAAAAAAAATGGTGGCCTCGTTCTTTGGAAGGATAGGTCATTTTGAAACAATTGTGTTAGAGGATCAAAAAACAGTTTCTGCAGAATGGTACACTACCAATTGTTTGCCACTTGTCTTGGAAAAAGTTCGAGAGAAACGACCTCGCAGTAGGATCCTCCTTCACCACGACAACGCCTCGTCGCACACCGCCAAGCGAACGATCGACTATTTGGCGACATCAAACGTTGAATTACTGGGTCACCCGCCGTATAGCCCCGACCTCGTGCCTTGTGATTTTTATTTATTTCCAAAAATTAAAGAAAAACTTAAAGGAAAGCGGTTTATGAATGCTGAAGAAGCGGTGGCTGCGTATCGCGATGCCATTGAAGAGACCCCTAAGGACGAGTGGGCAAAGTGCTTTTCCCAGTGGTTCCATCGCATGCAGCGGTGTATTGACGTGAATGGACAATATTTTGAAAAGATATAATAAAACTAATAACTGGCTAATGTAATCAGTTTTTGATTTTCTAAGAACTTTCAGTTTGACCCTCGTATATCGACAGTAACTCTCGGTCGAAAGTTGAATACATTTTTTGTGCCTCTGAGAACTTTTTTGAATAATACCCGAGTGGTTGCCACTTTTTATTTATGTATTGTTGTAGTACGGCTCCTGCGCTATTGTCCGATGCGTCACAGAACAAAGCAAGTGTTGCATAATGAGAGGGATGAGCGAGTAAAGTAGCGTTTATGATGCTGTTTTTACAGGCTTCAAATGCTTTTGTTGCCTCATCATTCCAGTCGATTATTTTTTTATCCTTCTTTATTACGTTGTGCAAATACGCATTTAGAGGGGCTTGAATGGAAGCGGCGCTCGGAATGTGTTCTCGATAAAAGTTTATTATACCGAGAAATCTTCGTAACTCTTCTATTGTTTTCGGTTTTGGATATTCGACGACTGCGGTTACTTTTTCTTGTGGTGGTTTGATGCCATCTTTAGATACTGTGTAACCCAGAAAAATTACTTCTTGTTTACCGAAGTTACATTTTGCCGGATTTATTGTAATTCCATTGTCTTCTAGTCGTTGTAAAACGGTGCGTAGATGTTTCCGATGTTGAATTTCATTCTCTGATGCCAATAGTAAATCGTCGACGAAAGGGAACACGAAGTTTAGACCTCTGAGTACTTCGTGTATGTATCGTTGGAATGTTTGTCCGGCATTCTTTAAACCTGGGCACATGCGCGGAAATTCGAATAGTCCCATTGGTGTAATTATAGCTGTTTTTTCGATATCTTCTTCCCGAACTGGCAATTGTTGGTAAGCTCTGTTGAGGTCAATCGTTGAGAAAATTGTTTTCCCGGCCAGTTGATATGTGAAGTCTTTGACTCGCGGTATAGGGTAGCGGTCGGGCTTAGTGATATCGTTAAGTTAATCTCCACACACTCGAATGTCACCGTTTTTCTTTGGCACGATGTGAAGAGGGGATGCCCATGGACTTTTGCTAGGTCTGCATAAGCCTTCCTGCATCATGTTCTCGAATTCTTTCTTCACTGCCTGATAACGATGTGGAGGTATTGGACGTGCACGGCAATGAATAGGTGGGCCGGTTGTTTCGATGTAATGGTGCACGTTGACTTTCGGGTTGAGATGCATCGACGTTATCCGCGTTGTGCCGGGAAATTCCGCTAGGATATCGTGGTATGACTGTGATATGTCAATACTACGTATCGTAGGAACATCGATGGTGCATATTGGTGCACTGAGCTTGAAGTTGGTGACGCCATCAATAAGTTTTCTATTTTTGAGGTCGACGATAAGCTGGTGATGCTTTAAAAAGTCGGCTCCCAGTATTGGTTTTGATACGTCGGCACTATAAATTTCCATTTGTATGGACGGCGCAGGCTGAGATCGAGTTCAATCGTTTTTTCGCCGTATGTGGGTATAACAGTGTTATTTGCTGCATACAATTGAAATGGTAATGGCGTTGTTGGTTGGCCTTTTGTTCGAGGTAGCACCGAAATGTTCGCTCCGGTGTCGATCAGGAAACTTAAATTCGTTTTCTTGTCGGTAACGAATAGGCGGTATGAATGTTCGGGAACGCCGGTTTCCGCCGCTGCCAGCGCTCGTTTTAGTTTTCCGACTTCTTGTTATATCTGCAGGGTGTCGTGCATCGTTTTGCTTGAGATCCGAAGCGCTGGTGGTAAAAGCAAAACGGCGATGGTGATCGGCTGTTTTGTGTCGAACGATGGCGGGAGCGAGATGGGGATCTGTCTCTGAAGCGGTTGCGTGAGTGAGACGGGAATGCAGTGTTCCGCGTCCTGTGATCGTTTCTTTGTTGCGTGTAATGGTAATGTGGCGGCCCGCTACAGCTGCTGCGGTAATTGGATGTTTTTTCTTTCAGTTCGGCGATTTCGGTGTGCATTTTGCGAAACTCGTCAACTAAAATTTGCATGTTAGTATCATCTTTCTTGTTTGCTATCGGCGTAGTGATAGATGATATTGACGAAGTTTCGTATTGTTCTACCATCTTATCAGCGAGTTTGGCGATATCGTCGAGTGCGGTATCTTTGGCCATTGTGTCGCTTACGACGAGTATCGAGCGTACGTGTGGTGGTAGATGATTCATCCACATTAGCTGTAGCGTTTTGTCAGGGATTTTTCCCGTAGCGAGCGTTTTCATACGACGAAGCAACTGGCTCGGCTTCTGGTCACCGAGTTCCATGTCGGAGAGTAACCTATGCAGCTGCTTGCTGTCGGATTCCTCGTACGCAGATATGAGTTTTTCTTTAACGACTGTGTAATAGCCCTCAGACGGTGGTGCGTAAAGTAAGTCGCAGATTTGCTCGACATCTTCCTTGTTTAGCTGGGCGATGACCATCTGCGCCTTCTGGGCTTCGTTTTTATGAAGCTCATTAACTGCAGCTTCAAAAACGGCGAACCACAATCGTGGTTTATCGCGCCAGAATGGTGGTATGCGGAGTGGGAGTGCGACGCTGGAGATTTCGTTTGATGTGGACGGCGACGGTGGGTTTGCTTCCGTGTTTGCCATCTTGTGAAAGTTTTTCTTGCAAGAGAAAAATGCGTTTCGAAACAGGACCAGGTAGTTCTTCGAGTCTTCGATGTCGTGTCGTTTAAGGATCACGTCAATTGAAGATCACGTCGGTTGAAGATCATGTCGGTTGAAGATCACGTCGGTTGAAGATCACGTCGGGGTCACCACTTTGGCAACTCGGATCGTTGAATGTGTGTCCGGCATTCTTTAAACCTGGGCACATGCGCGGAAATTCGAATAGTCCCATTGGTGTAATTATAGCTGTTTTTTCGATATCTTCTTCCCGAACTGGCAATTGTTGGTAAGCTCTGTTGAGGTCAATTGTTGAGAAAATTGTTTTCCCGGCCACATATTCAATCATACGGTTCCTAAACCTTGATAATAATAATTGCTATCATTTGTAATAATTTAATATTACAGAGATTAATTACATAATAACTTAAAAATTTAAAACAGTTACCATTAAAATACAAATGTTTCGACTAAGGTTATTAAGTTAAAATTTTTTATGAACGGTATTTTTGTATAATGGCAAGATGAAAGAAAGAGATACACGGCCTCTATTGTTACTATCTATGTCGGCTCGGATTGGCTTCTCTACAAAAAACAATTAAAAGTTTATTTTAGTTTATATTGATAAGGTTCATTTTTGTAATTATAATTTTTCGGAGTTTTAATACTGTGATAAGTACTGTCCATGGGTTATTCTGAGCTCATAATATACTTTTACTCTTTGATCTCAGCATAGGAGTTACTTATTTATACTCTAAGCATAGGATGTTCTTAAGCAAGAAGTTTTTAATATTACATATAGCTTAAAGCTATGCTCTCGTTAAGTGAAAAAAAAAAAACCTTTTATTTGGCTGTATGGGCAAAACCCTTCGTTTCAAATAAAAAAAATCAATAATATTAATTTTTTTAAATATGGCCGTTCGCTTAATGATTTGTTAAGTTCTTGGGATGTGAGAAAAGCTACGTTTTTCGTCACTACGGAACTACTACTATGACGTTTTTGTATATTACATAGGAGCAGTAGCTGAATGACAATATTTACTTATCGTATGCTTAAACAAAATTACTTAATTGGAGTAATTATATACATTTCCACTATCGTATATGAAACTTTGAGTGTTTTACGTACCCAGTTATAGTTGTTATGTTATTTTGCCCAAAAACATGTCGTTAGATACATGGAAAGTAGAAAAAGGATTATGCCGTTGTTGTCATGCTGACGGCATTCATACTAATCTAGCGGAACCTCAATTACAAAAGGGACAGCAAGAGATCTATGCGAACATTATGCAGCAGTGTTTTAACATTAATGTAAGCGTTAATTTGGTACTCAATGAATGTATTATTTGTAATATCGTTAATGATATATGTTCTATTTATTAAAAATAATAATTTCTAAAACTAATCTATTAATATGGTATTCCTGTTTATCAGGTGTCATAATTATTTAAAACTAGCTTTATGCCAGCGGCTTCACCCGCGTCTTTCTGTTATAAACATATAAACCTTCCTATTGAATCACTTTGTTTATTGATAGAAACAGCAACAGTGGGGGACCAATAATAATTTGATAAAAAAAACTTTTTTCATACTAATTCTATATTTTTTTAAATTGCCATCTGTTTAAAACTTTTTGCATGCATCAGATGATTCAAACATACTTTTTTAAAGACAAATCCATAAAGATAATTCTGCAGATCATTTAAAGTTTTAGCAAGCTTTAAGCCATAGGGGAGTATAATACCCTTACTTTACATCATCATCAGCCGGAAGACGTCCACTGCTGAACATAGGCAGGAGACATGAAAATAAATACACAACTGTCAGTCATAACGTTAGAACTCATTTTTGCATATATTCTCATCTGACTTGAAGCCTCTGATAAAAGTATTATAAAATGTTTTTGCAATTACGTTATTGTTCAGTTTGATAAATTAACTGTCTTTTAGTTTCTACAATAAAATTTTTGTTTTCAGCTTCATCCGGTACAAGGCCCATTATGCACCATCACATATTCAATATGTGACCTATGCGCACAACGGTTGCTCGATGCATACAGCTTCAAAAAGCAAGTGATGCAGTGTGAGGAACGATTCCATAACCTATACAACAAGAATATGATCAAATGTTTGTAAAGTATTATTATTTTACTTTGTAAATAATTATTTGAATGTGTAATTATAGGGTAAAGCTTATTGAATTTTACGTAATACTCTTTTTAGGCATTCATACATAGGTACATACCTGGCAAAAAACTTAATTAAACAATATTAATGTCATATTTTTACTAACTCAAGTTTTATTGCAAGCTACATCATTATCATCACCATCAGCCCTTTTACATCCCCACTGTAGGGTCTCAGGCCTTTCTTATGGGTGGTAAAGGCGGACTAGGAGGATTGAAAGTTACACTCACATGAAATTAGAAAAATTATGTAAAATGCACAGATAAGCTATTAAAAAAAAAGAAAATAAGAAGGAAATGCAAAGAAGCATTGAATTTTTTTTTAAATGGAGATCGATATATGGTGTACTAGACATATGAGTATGAGTAAGTAGCTCGGTGGCGTAGTGGATAAGCGCCGCGGCCCGCGATCGTTGTCGTTAAGCAACTGTCGCAAGGGTCGGTCACGGGATGGGTGACCAAAAAATTATTATCTCGAGCTACTCCGTGCTTCGGAAGGCACGTTAAGCCGTAGGTCTCGGCTGCATTTGCAGTCATTAATATCCTCCAATCCGCATTGGGCCAGCGTGGAGGGACATGGCCCATCCTCCTTAACCATCCATAAGGAAGGCCTGAGCCCCTGCAGTGGGGACGTAAAAGGGCTGGTGATGTTAGACATATGAGTGCAAGGTATTAAATATCTCATTTTGGGACACTGACTGAAAAACATGCATACTTAAGTGCTGTTTTTAATGCCTTTTCTATATTGTGGCAGACTTGTGTGTAGTGGTACCATTGTTGTATCAGATACTCCATAATATATAAGCTTAAGTTACATATCTTGAAATCAGAGCCATAGTTTGTGATGGTGTCTACTTATTTTACTTTACTTTCTCTAGTTTATACACTTTGATTGAACGTGTGAGTGTGCTGATGTATTCTATTTTAGCTTTAAGTTTGTATCCTCTCTAATATAAATTCCTACTCAATATACTTTATGTTCCAGTAACATCATCTTATGAAGTAGATATAAAAGTCGAGATATCCGATGAAGACGTCGAAGACGTTTTGGGTAAGGAATATTTTTTAATGAATTTTTAAATATCTAATGATTAGAATAGAAACAATTAGAAAATACTTTTCTTTCTTTCTCACAGATGTGAAGCCTGTCATTTGTGTCCAAGTTGATGAGAATAATGATTTTGATTTCAACAATGAAGATGACGATGGTGAGTATCCTATAGTGTTAAAGTAGAAAAACATTTTTGTTGTGTTCAGATGGAAATACATTAATTTGTACATATAAATGTATGTTGTGTTGTGGTAGAAATATATCAGAGTGGTAAGTGTAAGTTTTACGCTAAAGCGTTCACTAGTGAGCACGTTAAGAATTTGTATGGAGATTTGTAGTTCTTGATAGTTACCGCTAGGGGCGCTGTGCCGGATTCCATACTAAAATTTTAACGCGCTCACGATCGACAGTGAACGTAAACGTCAAAAAAACTCACACTAAGCGCTCTGTCGTATAATGATGATATATGTTCTATTTATTAAAAATAATAATTTCTAAAACTAATCTATTAATATGGTATTCCTGTTTATCAGGTGTCATAATTATTTAAAACTAACTTTATGCCAACGGCTTCACCCGCGTCTTTCTCTTATAAACATATAAACCTTCCTATTGAATCACTTTGTTGAAGGAAATGTATGTTGTCACTTTGTTTATTGAAGGAAATGTATGGAAATGTATATATATTACATATAAATGTATGTTGTATTGTGGTAGAAATATATCTGTCGCAGCCAAGTGGTATAATCGGCCGCGACTGCGATTGTTTTAGTATGTTTAAAATGATTTCGAAGTTTATGCTACACTAGTTAATAATGATATGAAATGATATACAACCAAGTTATTTTGGCCTTGTAGGTCATGTGAAAGGCTTTGGAGGTATTTTTTTTTAACAGATATTGCCCTTTTGTTGAGCTGTCCAGATGTCATAATGGTTCAACTAGAGAACTAAGAAAACTAGCAATTGAATGGTACCATCCAATTAAATGGTTAGCCGCCCAATTGAATGGCTGTTTTAACCAGTTGGCTACGACATATCCATATCAGTTTCTGCCTAATGTATTGAAATCGACACATTAGAAAGAAACTTTCTCTTTTTCAATTGATTTATTTACAGTTACAATTCACACCATAGGCGCGAATCTCAACAAACCAAACGCTAATGTCAGAGTGACATTCCGAAAATCATTAAAGGCTTAAATTCTATTAATGTCCTCAACGTTAGGCACAGGCTTTCCCTATGGATTGAATTCAAATTTTGGGAGTTGACTTAAATTCTGATTAAAAATGATTTTTAACGTTTTTTTTTGTCTTTTCGTCAGGAATATAATTTTTTAAAATTGCAAATAAAAGCGGTACTTTTTAAAAAAACACAAATGCCATGCCATTTGTCAGAGAGAATATGACGAAAATATAGGGCAACCCTATATTTACACATAGGGATTTCGTTACAAAAACGTTAACATCGATACAATAACAACGTATCATGTCGCAAAATAACAACAGATTATAATTTAAACGATGTTTAGGATGTTATTTTATTATACTTAAAAATCGATTAGATTTTTTTATACTTAAAAAAATCGATTACATTTTTTTAAGTATAACTTAATAATAATCAATCACTTGAAATCCAAATTGATTTAAAATGTCACATCTCTAGTCGTGTACTTTGACGTCACGACAAGCGCGCCAAAAATTCCGGCGTGTAAACTAGCATTGTGTTACTCATTCTTTTTTAATGAGGATGAGTGAGTACCTCATTTTCCCTCGTGAGGGGCTCGCGAGTTACCCCTCATTTGAGGTGAGGATAAAACCGATACATTTTTATTAACTTTGATTTTTACTTAGACTAATTAATATCATTTATCTATAAAAATTTAAATACGTATTTGCGAAGAAACACATAAACAAACCTGAATCGTTCCAAAAAACTTATAAAACTTAACCCATTTCCTCAATCTTGAATATATTGAGTAAGTATCGAGTCGCCTTTTCATTCGAAACAACTCGCTATTTAGCTCCTCACTCAAAAAGTGAAGAGCTTAATGAGGTGGTTCAAAATTGAAAAACGAGTACTCCCTCATTTCGTCGAAATGAGGAACTCAAACGAGGCACCTCGCGAGTGAGGGGCTCATCACTAGTGTAAACTGTTCCTAGTTGTGTGCTCTCAATTTCATCATATATTTTGTTACTAAATGTTAGTGTTTCGGTGCCTTGTATTATTTTACAGTTATATAATAATAACAATATTCTTTATTAGAATTTTAAATGTTATATTGTGTACAAAAGCAGCCGTTTTAGTTTTAAAACTGCGTTGCAGCCACAAACGATTTATCATATTCAATATTATTGAGAAATGTACATATTCCCGATTTGTTAAATAAACATATTTCCATAATAATGAAAAAAAAAAACTGCAATGCTAATTCTGCTTGTGTAGTGACACTATTATATGATCTAATATTTTTCAAATAGGTGACGATAGTAAGGAAATGCAACTGGATACAGAGGAAGAACAGTCAACTACATCCCAACCGAAAAAGCCGAAGGCCAAACCGAAGGCCAAAGGCCAGACCCGAAAGTCTGAACGATCTGCGAAAGCCAAGCAAGATAAGGCGGAGAAGGCGAAAAAAGGTAGGTGAATGTGTCATTTCAATTTCTTAAAACAAAACTTGATTCTGAATTGTGTATTCTAGAAGATATTGACGCTTAAAAGCAAACACGCAGTTAACCGCAAACTCAAAATTGGACTTCAGAGCAATTAGTTTTTAAATCTTTGAAAAAAGAAAATTACTTTTGTATGATATGAATATCGTCATTCTAATGTGACTTTCAGTTACTGTAACGGGATTTGTTTTACCTAGGTTCTTCAACCGAGGTTAATTTATTGAATATGGCTCAGGCCTTTTTTATGTATGGTTAAGGAGAATACCCTTCACACTGGCCCAATAACAAAAGCAATAATGTTGGAGGGCAATAACGAATGCAAATGCAGCCGGGACCGACGACTTTGTGCCTTCCAAAGCATAAATTAGCTGGAGATAATAACTTTTTTTCGGTCGCCCATCCCGTGACCTACCCTTGCGAAGGTTGCTTAATAACAACAATCGCGGGTCTCCTAATGCTGCGACCAGCCAAAGTTGGCCAAAGTGCTAGTTGCTATACTTGTCAAAACCCCTCCCCTCTCGTAGGCCTCGATCTACTACCAACCAACGAGTACCGGGAGTATCACTCTTAATAGAGTTTGTACTCTATCAGTGTTATTAATAAACAAGGTTTAACGTTAGAGTAAATTTACGCTGAGACTGTACTTATACTCTGTTCCTGGAGTCGAGTTAGTAGAGCGCTTTCTCTGTCACACAATACCATACAAATGACAAAGACAAAAAACACATCTTCAAGGGCAGTGGGCGTCAACGATATCTTAGAAAAGTAAACGCGCGTACATATTGCGCTTGCGCTTCCTGGATTTAATGAATTATTGTTATTGAGCCTGCTTGCGATTTGTCCGTGGCTGTCAGTCAGTTGGACAAAGGTTTATTAAAATTTTCATTAGTTTAAAGCGACATTACCCATACAAATTTGACATTCATTAGAGCTTAAAGGCGACATTAAACCTTAATGGACGTTTGTGCAACTGATCGTAAGTCCTTTTATTTTTCTTTTATGTAGTTACTAATGTACCACAGAAAAAGGTTTTTATGAGATCTTCAATAGTAAGTTAGTGGGAATTAAAGCAACAAATTATAATTATTTACTCACTATCCGACTATCACTGCTACTACTACTGTGTCCTAAAGGTATTACAAAACTTTCTATCGTAACTTTTACGTTTCTGTCTATATCATTCATTTTAAGCTCAATTTCTTCTCGAACATGTTTTATACAATTTTTCCAATGTTGTGCAGTTACATTTTCAATTGATTCTTTTAATACATTTTTTAATTCTAACATTTTAAAAGTTTTCATGTTTGAAGATACATTCCCAATCCAATGCACAAGCCAGATCAAGTCCAAAAAGCACGCTAGGTCACAAGAGAGGCCGATAATAGTTCCGAGAGCACGTATACACTGTACAAGTCGCACAAGCAAACTAAAAAGTACTTGAAATGTAAACACTGCCGTAGAGCTTATCATTGAACAATCACAGGCAAGGAGTTGTGGGAAAGAGGAACAGAGTATAGTATTAGTCAAAATCTATATTATTAAACAGAGACTTGGAAAATGTTAACCTAGTACGAGGTTCTACGGGAACTATATTAACTCCTAGAAGGTAGTAGGTTTGCATATTCTCCGTATAATATGAATTTGAACTATAATACGGAAATTGCAATTTTAGCGTGAACCTTGTTTATTAATAGCACTGTATAGCATGTATTCGTACTCTATAATCTGTAACACTAATAGAGAACGCTAAAATACATATTTTTAACTCAATATTTATTATACTAGTGTCAGTCGCGTACATATAATGCATATCTACATGTTATTGTATTCACAAAACTCATCTAATTATCTATTTACGGCCTTGTATTGTTTCAAGTTGCGGATTATCTTGGGTTTATGTAGCCCAGTATCACTGCGACCATTGCTGATCTATTGTGATTTCCACATACTACAGTTCACGGTCAAGATTACATTCTGCAAGGAACTGTAGTATTTTCTTGGCCGTAAGTTAAGTATTTACGGCCTTACTAATATGCAGTGTATAAGCGTTATATAGTTATATGCATTAGTCTTCATTTTTACTCTTAACTGAAAGTCACATAAGAATGACGTGAACAGAGCTATATGTAACTAAAGAACGGTTATAAGTTTCCTATAAGTAAGGGTATTAACTATTTATTTAGTAACCGGAAAAAAAAGTGAGGTATCCTTTTAAAATGTCGATTAAGAGAGAGAAGTTTTTTGTTGTGACATTTAATTCAGAGTCGAGTTTTATTTTTTAGATGTTTGTGCAATTCTAATAGTAGACTGATAGTTCGGTTGGCGGTGATTTCAGCTGTTTTTGTTAAAATAATATATGAAAGTATATGTATTGATTATACGTTGAAGCTTAGATAAATTAAAAATAAAGAGATTTGACGTGCTCAATGGCGTGGTGGTAGCGTTCCTACTATTCCGCTGAGCGTCGTGGGTTCGATCCCCAGCCAGGACAAACATTTTTGTGATTAACAATAGGGATGATGACTGGGTAAAAAATTGCACTTCTATTTAGTCCGTCAGTCAGATGATAGAAAAATATTAGATACGTATTTTTTTTTACTTCAATTTAACAAGAAATAGCTATAGATAACAGGCATTAAAGTTGAGGAGTGGGGGCTCGCTACGTCACAGTTGAGTAGAAAACGTACCCTAACGTGACGTCATGCGAAATTTCAACTCAATGTAACGCCGTAATTTTATGATTACGAAAAAAATACGTGTTTAATAGTTTTTAACACTCTACCTGACGGACAAACACAAAATTAGTTATCATCCCTATTATGTCTGTTCGGTGTCTGGATGTTTTCTATTTATGTTATGTATAAATTTGTATTCCCCTGTTGTTTCTGATATCCGTAACAAAGGTGCTTAAGCTACTTACCTCGGAATCGGATCAAAGTGTGTGATGTTGTCCGATACTTATTTGATATCCAAGACAATAAACATTCCCCTCCCTCCTCTCACCGCACTAGCGCCGCCTAGCGGTAGCAAAATCTCAACTGACGAAGCTTGTGCGTTTTGTGCTCGGAGCACTGTGTTGTATGTATCCTGTTAGGGTTTGAAAAACATCTGTTATTCGCTACGAGGAGCTCGATAGCGCATTAGTTGACGCGTTCAGTCTGCGATCCGAAAGTTAAGCAACTTTCGTAATGCCCGGTCATGGGATGGGTAGCTAAAAATTATAATTTTGAGCTCGTCAATCTTTAACACCCACCAATCCGCACTGGCCCCGTGTCGTGGCTCATGGCCTATTCCCTATTCGATTCAATCCATAGGCTGAAATTTTATGAATAAATAGTCTGACCAAAAAAAAATTGCTCGTTTACTCCTTTGTTATATTGCCCGATCAACTTCTTTTTTGCATCTATATTCTTGATGAAAAATGTTTTAAAATATCACTTTGTCTCTGGCACTCTGAGATGGGATTCGAACCCATGACGTTTCGCAATCCGGGCGACTGCTCTAACCACTGAGCTACCCAGGACCTAACGGCACTGATGAATTTTTCAAGCACTCGTTACTACAATGCGTACTTTCATTAATGTTCAGGCAATCCACCCAAACAGTTTGCTAACCATTTTACTTAAAATTATTTTTCAGCAATACGCAATGCTATAGCGTATGCAGAATTGATCATTTTAATATAAATAAATTATTATATTTGATCCAGATCTAGGAATATGAGTGTTAAAAATATTGAAACACGTATTTTTGTATGTTAATTTACATCGATATATCACTGTGAATAATTACCCGGCGTTACGATGGACTTGAAATTTCGCATGACGTCACGTTACGGTACGTTTATGCAAATACGTCAACTAGCTGACGTAGCGAGCCCCCACTCCGCAACTTTATTGGCGCGCTCGTCGTGACGTCTAAGCTATTTCTCGTCTAGAGATATGACAGTTTTAAATCAATACGGATCTGAGTGATTGATTATCTATTCAATCTGACCCAAATCGATTCGCGACTAATCGATTTTTAGAAGTGCATTAGACTTTTTTTATACCTCAGTCATCAGTTTCCCTAATTGAGTCAAATATAAATAAATTTAGCAATAGATGATCCTAATAATATATATTAAAGCCTTTTTTGAATCAAATGCGTATTCCCTATTAATGAAATTCAATTTGGTTGGTATCAGATTAAATCTAAATTCACGCAACGTTCAATACTGCACTTGAACTTTGAGTGCCTTCGATTAAATTTCCATTAAACCTTGAGAGCGTTTAGTTTAATCCTATGAATATTTGGTTCAATCCATTTTGATTAATTACGGAATCTTACACTCATATTAGAGTCTATTAGATGTAACTACTTGTAAATACTTGAGTAAAAATAATAATTTAAACAAATAGTTTTAACCACGAGAATCTGAATGAAGACCCTTGTGAAGAAATGGGCATAGGGTATTAGAAATTAATGTAGGCGATGTATCGAATGAAAAAAAAAAAACAAAAAAGGTTATTAGCTGTTATTTTTTTATGATCTGTTGAAGTAGGGAAGCTTTCTGTCCTTATCACTCTCACGCTTACCGATCACTAGAATTTGACGTCACAGTGTAGTATATGTTTAGCGTTGTCTAAATCGAGATTCAAATCGATTGTCAAGAGTACCACATCCGTTTTATAAGTTTGAAAAGGAATCTAACGAGCTCAAGCTGCCACACACCCGTTTGGGTCACGCCGGTCAAGATGACCGGCTATTTTTAGGGAACGCAATCTCGCGAGATTGGGACTCGGGCGAGATCTCACGAGTTTAAGAATATCAATACCGCGAGATCTCGTGGTTCGAGATCGGCACTTTTGTGTGTTTACGTTAATATTTATTCAAATCACAATATTTGAATAAATTAGGAAAAAATAATAGGAATTATAGGTATTATGAAATAAACGTTTATTTTTAAAGTTTTATGTATTTACAAA